GAGATTTACTCCAGCTCAGTATGCAGAAATTCAAAAAGTCTAAAGGCAAAACTTTTCCTCCTGGACTCCTATTTTCTCACCATTAGAAGTTTTTCATTCTCGCTGCATATTTATTTATGTTCTTGAAACACATTATTTCTCCGGCTTGTTATTGAGTTAGCTTTACATGAGCTTCTACAAAGCTTGTTACACAGGCATGTGTTTCTTGTCTTCCAGTACCCTGATAATATTCTGTCCAAAAAAGGCTCCCAAGGCAATTCTAGACTTTCAGACATCAGTCACAGCAAAATAAACAAGGCAAGGAAATTTTAAAAATTTTAAAAATCGCTATTGGAACAATACATTTAAAACCACCTAAAAGCCATGAGTTTAAAAACCATGATGTCACTATCCTGCCACTCTTTGGAGGGCAGGTCTGCAACCAAGCTATGATAAAACTCCTGCTCCCCGTTGAGCTTAGGGATGGAACATAATTTAAAGAACTTCTAATCTACAGCACATTGAAATTAAAGGCCGGTTCACACACGAGAGGATACTGAGGTTTTCATGATCATCATTAAGAAAAGGGGAGATGAAGAAAATGAAGTTCAGGTTGAAACTGAAATTCAAAAGACAAGATATTCAGCTCAAGGGTTTGTTTCTGAATACTTCACTAACAGTACTACATCCTTTAATTTGATCCTACAAACAGCAAGGGCCTTCTCCATTCCACTAAGGTTCTCAGCCAATCTTCCTTGCTCTCCTGATGCTCTGCCTATTTTATTCATTTGGTTTTTATCCTAACTTTATTATATTTGAGGTGATTCAAGGCCATGAATGTACCTCTTACTGCTCCTACTCTCATCACAATAAGAACTCTATAAGGATTGGGCTGAGTGTGAGTGACAGGCCCACCCTGCCGGCTTTGTGCCTAAGGTGGGACTAGAACTCACAATCTTCAAGTTTCTAGGCCAGCACCTTAACATTACTCCAAACTGGCTCTCTGAATGTTTTTGGACTGAATCAAAACAACATTTAATTTCTGGTTCAATTGACAACTCTAGATGACCCATATACCACCCTCTCCTTTGACATAAATCAGCAAAACACCTTTGGCCTTCACCAATGTGTCCATGAACACTTATCCAAATAGATCCAAAATGCTGTGTTACATTAATGCTTTTACATCGACCGATTAGCCCGTCAATATACCTTCATGCAAACCAATTGTTATTTTTAACACCTCCACAGGAAAAAAAAAGATGACAATAAAACAAAGACTGGAATTTACAGTTTCTTTGGAATAACTGCTGCTCCATATCAGAAAAATTGTGTCGTGTCTCATTCCCTGCCTTACCTGACGTTGTTTTTCAAAGATGATTTTAATTTTAAAAAATGACATGGGAAATTTGTATGATTCACAGCAAAGTTTAAGCCTTCAACCTTTTCTCTGTTGTCTCTATACGTTAACACTAGAAAAGTCAAAGAGAAATGGTGATTTCTTTTTAATTACCTGGCTCACCATTACCTCATACAGTGTATTCTCAAGCTAACCTGAGTGTTTCAAACTCTAGGCCAGGGATAGGCAACCTTGGCTTTTATGACTCGTGGACTTCAACTCCCAGAATTCCTGAGCCAGCCATGCTGGCTCAGGAATTCTGGGAGTTGAAGTCCACGAGTCATAAAGAGCCAAGGTTGCCTACCCCTGCTCTAGGCCAAGATCCCATCCACCTCCTGTTTATTTGCTTGTTTTGCAATCCTGTTACTGTTATCTCTTTTATACTGACAATCCACCTGAAATGATGGATTTATGCTTTATTCCAGGGGTGTCAAACTCAATTTCATTGAGTGCCGCATCAGCATTGTGGTTCCCCTCGGGGGGGGGTGTGTGTGGCCAGGGTGGGTGTAGCCTACTGGGTGGGTGTGGATGGAGTGGGTGTGGCCTACTGGGTGGGCATGGCCAGCTCTACATCATTTGTGTCAAGGTTGTCTGGGCAGGAGTGGGACAGACCTGAGGGTCTCTGGCAGAAGGGGGTGGGACTGGGGCAAGCGCCAAGGCATGGTCCATTTCTTCATTCCTCACAAAGGGTGACACCTCCCCAGCATGCAGCCAGGGGGTGGAGCCGACACGGCAGGTGCTGGTTCCTTGCTGTTTCTAGATGGCCTTGTGGAGCTAAGACTGAATGCGTTTCAGCATAGATGGCCACCACAAAATTGTACATTGGCTCCTGGCCAGACTGGGCTAGGACCAAGGCAGTGGGGGCCATTCCCTCACTGTTTCCAGGATGGCTTTGCGGGCCACATGAAACCATTTCGCGGGCCACATCCAGCCCCCGGTCCTTGTGTTTGACATGTCTGCTTTATTCAATTTGTCCTTTCATTTACTGGTAGACCTTGCTGAACTACCAGTTATTTAGCAACTCTTGAATTTCTGAAGGACTTCTTAAAGCTACTTATGACCCATTTTCAAACTTCTGATGACTGAAACCCTCCCTCCACCCCCGATTATGTGATTGTATTTTGGGAGCTCGGCAATTGCCTCATTTTGCAGTGTTGTAGTCACATGATCACAGTTTTTGTCTCTATTCGCTGGTTTCCAGAAAAAAACCACCCACAGGGGAAAATGGGTTTGTGCAACGATTGCAATGTTCGCTTAACAACTGCAGCATTCACTTAACAACCATAGTGCTCACTTAATGACCACTGTAAAAAAAGGTCTTAAAATCAGGCATAGTCATGTGATGACTCAATAAGTGTCATGACTTATAAATGTAATTCTGGGCTTAATCGTAAGTCAAGGACAACCTGTATAACATTTTATGTCAGGCACAAAAAAACAGAATGATACCATGAGTTGATCATACTTCTTTACTGCTGCATGTCTACCGGTATATACAAGAATCTCGTCAGACTGCCATTTCTCTTGGGAAATGCCAGATAAGGATTTCAGGGATTCTGGGGGAGCAAAGATCTGCATCTCTTCTTGATGTGCAAGGACTCTACGCTTGCCCCCATCTTCACACATTCCCCCCCCCCGTTTAGCTGGAGATTCCACGTTTAATCACCAAGTACTATAACAATCTCCAAACTGTAACGTTTCTTTCCAAAAGATTTCTTCTTCATTTTTTCCAAGTGTTTATCATCTGCAGAAGGCAAATGATTGCCTCTCCAACGTATCAAGATTTTTTTCCTCCCTCTGACTACTGCACTTCTCTCAACATAAAGGAAAAACAAGTCACATTACAATGACAGAGTATTAAAAGACCACATTCCTTACTTGAAAACTCAGTATTTCAAAGTCGATGGGAGCTGTTCATAGAGAAGACATAATGGATATCACAACAGGTCCCCCCCCCCTTTTTTTTTTTTGCTAAGTAAAAGTAAAAAGGTAAAGGTTGCCCTTGTCCAGTCATGTCTGACTCTAGGGAGCAATGTTCATCTCCTTTCTTAACCGAGGGAGCCAGCATTATCTGAAGACATTTCTTTGGTCATGTGGCCAGCATGACTATATGCTGAGGCACACAGAATGCTGCTACCTTCTCACTGAAGTGGTACCTATTTATCTACTCGCATTTGCATGCTTTTGAATTGCTAGGTGGCAGGAATAGGGGCAAAAAATGGGAGCTCACCCTGTCCTTATTTTTTCAACCCTATACTCTATTCTCACTCCATCCACAGATTTATGCAGAAATCCTATTCCCCTCTCAGCATCTCCCCTTATATTTTAACAGCATTATATCAGTTCTGGATCCCATCAAATTATGGCATTTATTTTTTATTTATATAGAATGGTTACACCACTGTTTTTAACTTCTTTCCACTTTTGCTCACATGTTGAACTGAGTCAAGGCCAGATGAATAGTTCCATTAGTCAAAGAGGGCATATATCTTGTGAGGAGCAGTACCTTATATGTGGATTATTCAGACATGCAATTATGAAAAGCTGTGGAGTCCCAGGTGCTCTTTGAGCTTGTTTTCTTGCAGATATTTCATTACCCCACTAATATTAGCAGCAAAGAACTGATTCCTGTGAATAACCCTTATTATAATATTCAGTGCTTGGTAGCATCCGTTTGCAAAAAACAAACTATTGCAATCCCCCCCACAGACACACACTAGCACACATAAAGGCTTTTCCAAGGTAAGATTTCAGCCAATTTAGATAGGAGCCTGTTTATCTTGCCTAAAGCACTTAGGACACTTTTAGATGTGCTAGCCGTTAATTGCGATAGGCTATAATTTCTATACTTCAAGCATCAATTAGCTGACAATTATTTATCTTGTTATTTTGTTCCAGCAGCTATAAAACATTCTTGGCCTTCGGATAAGCAATTTTGTGCATAGGACTGAATCCCTTATTTTCTTTTAATGTGTATCTAGAAACATGAATATGCACATTCTGAAACATGGCCAAGAGGATAAAATATTGGCGGAGGGAAGAAAGGAAAGGGATTAGAAATAGTTGAGGACAATTAACCAGTGGAACAGCTTGCCTTCAGACGTTGTGGGTGCTTCATCACTGGAGGTTTTTAAGAAGAGACTGGACAGTCACTTGTCTGAAATGGTAGAGGATATCCTGCTTGAGCAGGGGGCTGGACTAAAAGACCTCCAAGATCCCTTCCAGCTCTATTCTGAGAATGTCTTTAACCAGTCAAGGATGCATTTGCGCGAATGGCCTCTTTTAATGCACCCCCTCAGTATTAAAATAAAACCAAAACCTGCTAACTAAAAAAAGGGGAAGACGTCGACACCATGTGAGCCCACTTAAGCCAACTCTACAGAAATTTAAACATCCTTAAATTAGCTTTTGCTTTGCAAGCTTAACGAAAAGGAGAGCACGATTTCCCCGGTCAACCGTTTTGTACCGCTGTACCGTCGAACACGTGGACAGTCGATTAATTTTTTTTATTTTTTTGCTTGCATAGAGTCAGGAGCCGGGTAGCACCGTTGGCTTTTCTGAAACGGAAGAGAGCTTCCAGAAAGGTAGCAACGCCTCACCTGTAGTAACCCGCCCCGCCCCCGTCGCGGAGAGCCTTCCCTCTTCCTGCTGCAGTTCGTAAGGCGTAAGACGGCCGAGGCAGTAAGCGAGGCAGCGGCGGCCGGCAAGGGAGCAGCGAAGGAACCAGTTCCCGCCTCGCGCCTAATCCCCGGGCCTCCCTAAGGAGCGGCTGCGGTGGCCGAGCCCGCCCCTCTCCCAGCCTCCTTCGCGGCTCCCCTCCCTCCCTCCTTTTCCTTATTCCCATCCTGAAGCGAGGCGGAGTTGGAGCTTCGGTCGCCGCTGTCCCTACTACCGCCGCCACCTTCTCTCCAGCGCCGAGCGGAGCGACGCTTCCACCAGCTCGGAGACTTCCCCAGAGGACAGCGAGGGTGTGTGCCGGGGTGCGTTGCTGCCGCTGCCTCGCCGCCGTTCCTGCCAGCGCCGAAGCCGCGGGAGGAGCGACTCGAAGAGCCACAAAGGAGCGCCGACGGCGAAGCCTGTGTTGCCAGCGGAGTCGCCATGAGTTGGGGCACGGAGCTCTGGGTGAGTCCCAGTCCCCCCCCCCCCACACACACACCCCGGTTTCTCTTCATTGTGCCCAGGGTTCGCGACCACCCGGGGGAAAAGAGCAGGGCTTGCTCGGCCGGCTGTGTGTGTGTGTGTGTGTGTGTTTGTGTGGTTAGGCGAAGAAGCCCCCTTGCCCTGCAATCTCCGTGTGGCCGGGAGCGGGAGGTCGCGCGCGCCTGGGCTGCTTTGTTGAACGAAGTAGTGGAAGCGCCTCGGGGGAGAAAAGGGGAGGACTCGGGTAACGTGGGGGTCGGACCGTTTCCCACGTCTGTGGAGGAGGGGGCGGGGCCCAAACGAGAAATTCCCCCTCTCTCTTCCCCCCTCCTCCTTTTCCAGGGCTTAGAATCCTGAGATAAGGTTGATCTTAATTCATAGGCTGGATTCCTCTCCGTGCGGTTTTCCAAGCGGTGGGTGCAGGACGTCGGTTCCATTGCAAGAGCGCTGGGTCTTTTCGCAAAGGGAGTCCACAGCATCTTCCCTCTCCCTCCCTCTCTCTTTCCCTCTCCTTAGGGGAGGGGGGAGAGAGAGAGCTTGAGCTGCTTTGGCTGGTCGTGCAGATTTTTCTTTCGCTCCTTAAACAAAGAAAAGAGAGCTTCGACAATACAGGGCGCGAAAGGGACACATGGATTCCTGCTTGGCGAGGCCAAGGAGGGGGGTTGTTAGGTGACGGTTTCGTTCTCAAGGAAGAAACTGAAGGCGGTGGAGTGTCTGCTAGGTTGGTCCTGCTATCTTTGGTGTGAGTCAGCTGTGCCTGAGATTGCTTTGGGAAGCTAGACCAGGTTGGGCTTAGTAGGGAAGGTGTAGTAGAAAAAGAAGGGAGGTATGTTAAGTAGGCAGGCAAAATGAGCTAACTAGCAATCAAAGCTTTCTTTGGGTTTTAGCTGAGTTCCAGGGCTAAAATGAGAGGAATTCTTGATTGTCACCTTACTGTCAGTGTACATATGAGGTCTGAGTCACTCAGAAGCCCTTATATTTACGTTCTCAAATACCACACCTTGGTATGGTATATTTTCTTCTTGGTATTATAGTCTCTTCTCTCAGATAACTGAGTAATTGCAAAGCAGATAGTTAATCGGTTCTGCTCTTTTTGTGCATATTTTTTTAAGAAATGGTTATTAAACATTCCTAATAGAAACCATGGTGGGAAGCCAAAGTACACAGCCCCATGGAGCCAACAACATAACAGGATCTATACACATCACTTGCCACTGGGGCACTCTGCATGCAATTGTTCTATTGATTGTGGATGGGAAGTAATAGGCAGTGTGTATGAAGGACAGTCTTGATATCTAGTGGTTAATTTTAGTGGTTGTATTTGTTAATCGGAGTCCTGGCTCTGCTTATTTTTACCTTAATTGTGGCCAATTGCAGCCATTTCCGGTTCGGGAAGTACTATGCTGGGTCACTCATGTCTTCCTTATCTCACACCTGGGTTCCTGCAGTTCCTGTAGATTGATGTTGAAACCCTTTTGGAAACCTCAGCTGGTACAGCATGCAGTTGCCCATATAATTATGAGCACATCAACATTTTTCTGTTAACTGTGTTGCTTCTGGAACTGCACTCACTGAGTACCAGTTAGCTTCCAGGTACAATTTAGCGTGCTGATGGTTACCTTTAAAGATCTTTATTGTTCAGGGCTTGGATATCTGCAAAACTACCTTCTCTGGTTATTTAATTAGTAAATTTATATGCCTCCCATCTCCCGGATAGGGTGACTCTAGTTCCTAGTGAGATCTGTCTCCCAGTGAGATTGGGATGAGAGGGTTTGCTGAAGGTCCCTTTTTTGAGGGACCTACTTCAATAGCTTAGAGGCTGTGGTAATTTAACAGCATATATTGATTATAATAGAAGAGAATATATATATAGCTCAGGATTAAAGTGTGGAGTCATTGATGCTTTCTGAGCTTGGTTGTTTGCTGATGTTACTTACGCAGGTAATAAAACATCTACAAGCAAACCGTGAGGCTCAGCCCCAAGAAAACCACATTGAATGATTCAGTGGAGTCAGTTAAGGAATAGGAATTTTGACATCAGAGTAGGTAGATTTGTTTTCTTGTGCACAAGTATGAACTGATTCCTTTAAAACACTCCAATTCAAAAACATTGTCCAAACTTTGTGCAGTAACTTTAATATGATACTGTATTTTTTCATTTCTATTTTGGTGATTTCTGTAATATTACAATATTGTATCTGATTATTTATTACATATACCTCCCAGCTTTAATCAAGTCCACATATGTTGGAGAGGGGGAGAGAGAGAGAGAGAGAGAGAGAGAGAGAGAGAGAGATTAGCCCAAAGTCACCCACTGAGTTGCTGTGCTGAAGATAATTTAAAATGTGCCCCCCCATTCCTAGTGCAACATTTTAAACCATTACACTACTCTGATTCTTCTGTCAAATTGTATTTTAAATTGTTTTGAAGCATACTTTTATTTATATTAGTAAATTAAAACATAGTAGCATAACTTGTATAGCTGTTCTGACACACATAATGTTAATTGAAAGTAGAAAATGTGTCAGGAAATGTGGAAAAACATTTTTTTAAAAAATGATTGTAAATTAAAGTGTATATGAAATGAAATGTCTTTAAAATCTTTAATCAATTTAATGAGTTTATCATCTGGGGAAAAAGTTGGACAACTTGCTGCTTATTCTCTGGGAATGATCTGTCTTTAGGCATTGACTGTATTTTTACATGTTGAAGCAACTATCTAATACCCTGTTCTTTTGCTTCTGACAAGCAAAGTCAGTGGGGAAGCCTAATTCACCTAACCCTAATTTAACAACTGATGTGATTTCACTTAACAGTGGCAAGAAAAGTTATAAAATGGGACAAAACTCACTTAAATGTTTCACTTAACAACAAAAATTTTGGACTCAATTGTGGTCATAAGTGGAGGACTATCTGTATAGCAGGTGTGTATACAGGGTGGCATTTTGATAAAACTAATCCTCCTTTACCAACCACAGTTGAGACCAGCAATTCTGTTGTTAAGCAAAGTGAATACTAAGTGAAACCACAACTGTGCTTATGATATTATTTCAGCTTTCCTTTGCTTTATATACCTGTGAAGGTTGTAAATGGGATTGGTCTCAAAGGCACTTTATCATCATGGTTGTAACTGCAAACAGTTGCTAAATAAGGTCTACCTCTACATTATCTCTGTAATAAAGATAACACATTTAGCTAATTTTGGTAAACTATATAAAATATTCTTTCGGCTGTTTGGTTAATGAAGACAAAATAACCTCTTGGTCAGTTGTGCTTCAATAGCATTAGAACCAGGTCAAGCGGTTTTTAGGGAAGTCTGAAAATATTTATTTTCTGCAGTAATGTTGAATCCTCTTATCTTTCTGGACATTTTCTTCTGGAATATGTTTTTCAAAGAATGATGCATGTTAATTTTTGTATTTGCACTGATAACTTTTATTTTGCAATTTCAGTAGAATTTTAAGAAAGGGAGATTCAACCTATCCTTATTAATTTGAGCTAATATGCTGGTAGTTATTTTGTGTTTTGTAAACATAAACACATCTACTTCAAGAATGCAAACCATCCTGTATTTTATCTTATTAATTAAAACAATTTTTTTGAAGAACAGAAAATGATATCTTTCTCTTTTATGAAACAAGCTTGTCCTGTATCTTGGTAAGTAATTGTAAGTAATTGCTAAAGACAGAGAAGAAATATATCCATATGGCTGTGTTCTTATAGTTAAGTTTTTATTGTTTTAAGTCATTTGTTTTGTGTTTTATTTTATCATAACTTGTGAATTTGTTTTTGTCAATATACTCTTTTGTAGATAAATTTAAGAAGTATCTTAGTATGATATGAGAATCCAGCCTTCATGCATTTGTCAGCTTTCTAGTGGTGTCACTTCATTATTTTTTTCCCAGCCATATATATTTAAGAAGTACTTTTAGCCTGATTTGAGAAATAGAGATTTGATAATAACACTGTGTAGAAAAATGAATGTAAAATCCCCAAATTTCACCAGAACGATGAAACATGGGCTTTAAGCTTTTTCCTTATATGAAGTTGCAGTAATGAACAAAAGGGGCAGAGGTTGCATCACAATGCATGTTTTGTCATTTTGCTTTCTGTGCATCCCTATGACTATGTAGAATTGCAATTAGTGGTAAACTGTTGGAACCAACTAACAGTGCTTATAAGATTATGACTGTAATGACTTACATTTTCACAAAGTTTATAGTTTCTGATGATAGTTCTCTTCATAACTGTTTGAACATGCAAACGTAGATTTTTCTCAAAGCCATCTAAAATGTGTTTTTATTTCCTGCAAGCCGCCTAGAGTTGCTGTGAACAAGCAGGTGGCTATACAAATTTTCCAAAATAAATACATAAATAAAAAGTTTCTGGAGAAACTAAGCAACTTACATATTCAAAGCATATTTCAAAGTTAAACTAGCTTTCTGGTTTTTCTAATGGTGTACAGGTAGTCCTTACTTAACTATGATCTGTTCAAAATTACAACAGTATTGAAGAATGCTAATTTTGGCTCTGCATGTAGTTCAACAACATTATCACTCTTGCCTATTGGCTGCATAATGACCACAATTTATGACTACCAGAATTGCCATCAACAAGCAATGTGGTCATGTGATGTTTTGCCTAATGACTGTTTCACCAAGCAATGAAATTTCTGGTCCCAGTTAGGTTTGTTAAATGAGGATTACCTGCGTTTGTAAAAGCAAAATTCAGCCAATATAATCCAATTACAAGTGGTCCTTATTTAGCAACTGCTCATAGTTACAGCAGTGATGAAAAATTAACTTTACAATCAATCATCACATTTATGACTTTTGCCGGTCTGTAAAGAAGAGCTGAAGTAACCATAAGCACAATAATGGTTTCTCCTAGTGACCATTTTGCTTAAGGACTGACTTACTGATCCCAATTGTAGTAGCTAAACAAGGACTAGCTGTAATTTATTTAGGGATGGCCTGTCAGAC